TAAGGTAGTGCTCCTTACCGATCCTACTTTCCGACCTAAAGCGGATTCGAAGTTCCACCGGTCGCAGGAAATATGTCTCCCAACATTCTGTCCTTCTCCTAGACACCCTACGGAGTTCCTCTGGCACACCCTAGACGTGCGAAGAACACCTAATGCGGCATTCCTGAATCGGTCCTCCGTGGAAGAGGTTTGTAAAGCAGCAACGTGGTCGTCTATCTCGACCTTCACAAGACACTACAAGTTAAATACGATGGCTTCAGCAGACGCAGCATTTGGGAGAAGAGTGTTACAGCACGCAGTTTCGTTAGAGGAAGATGACATCCCACCCAAATGAGGGACACTGCTCGGGGAGGTCCCATATAGATGTCCTCCGTCTCAGAGGGAGAACGACCATTGGACACTTACCGTGAGGGGTCCTTCTCCTCTGAGAAAAGGAGGACATCTGGGCCCTCCCACTGTCATCTTTCTGCAGTTTTTCTCTCTGTGCTGGTCTCTTCTCTTGTTTTTTCTCCCGTCTGCTTCACATTCCCTATCTTGGGGTTTTTTCTGTTAGCAAAGCAAAAAATTGTTGTTAGATGTTTATGTTGATGTTCACAGTTATGTTATAGGGCAAAGTTCCAGAGTTCAGGCTACGCACACGGCTTTCGGAGTCCCAGAACTAAGGAGGAGGGGCTATTCCGAAGGCGCCAACAGGAAGGGGAAAAAACTTCTTCCTGCCTCCCTAGTGGCACGGTGGGAATAACCCATATAGATGTCCTCCTTTTCTCAGAGGAGAAGGACCCCTCACGGTAAGTGTCCAATGGTTGTTCTCTCCTCTGCTGTCTTCCCATTTTTGTATTTATCTATGTACTTCATTTATATCCTGCTTTTCTACTCAGTGGGGACCCAAAGCTGTTCACGCCCCTCCATTTTACTTTCACAACAACCCTGTAAGGTCAGTTAGGTTGAGAGTGCATGACTGGCCCAAGGTCACCCGGCAGCCCTCCATGGCAGAGTGGGTATTTGAACCAGGGTCTCCTCTAACTTCTCCTTTTAAAAAAATGACTTAAATGCAGTTAACACCAACAAGAGTACCACATCTTTCCAGCAGAATCTCACCTGAACTCACTTGTTAAGGTAGCAGTTGTAGGCCTCAGAACCCCTGGAGCTATTTGGTGACTACCTAGCCCAGCTTTACTACCATTGTCACCTGCAAGAATATTAACAAAGTTGAAATTAACTTAGGACACCACATGAGACAGGATGCACATTTGGAACCGTCTTTCTTTAAGCTATTTTAAAGCAATCTGAGAACATAGCAGGTTGGAGCAGGGGAATGAGTTTTTAACCCTTTCTTTAAAAATTGTGTTCTAAATTGTCCACCATCAGCTACTTACTACTCTTTCAGAAAAATATATGGGCAGCCCTCTTCCCCACACTGTGCTGAAACTTTTAGGTTCCCCAAGGGTCTTTTTGGTTTACACAAATCTATACAGAGAAAAGTACATATGGCTTTATGTTGTATCTGAAGGTTTCTATGTGTTACTTTTGGCGTTTAGTCCCCCACCCCCACCCATGTCTGAGCACAAATTGCTTGAGCCACAAGAGAAATGCAGAGGGGGGCACACAGTAACACAGCTGCAGCAATGCAGAGCATTCTCTCTGTCCCTTGCCCTCCCCCTCTTTTCACTTGGCATGAAATACAATTAGATTCAAGTCCAGTAGTACCTTAGGGACCAACAAGAATTTTCGGGTATAAGCTTTCGAGAGTCACAGCTCCCTTCGTCAGATGCTAGAAATGGACTCTGGAAAGCTTATATCCTGAAACTCTTGTTGGTCTCTAAGGTACTACTGGACTTGACTCTAACTGTTGTCGAAGGCTTTCGATATGTTGTCGAAGACTTTCACAGCCAGAGTTCATTAGATGCTGTAGATTTTCCGGGTTGTGTGGCCGTGGTCTTGGCATTGTAGAACCTGACGTTTTGCTAGTAGCTGTGACTGGCATCCTCAGAGGCATAACACAGAAAGGTGGAGTACTCTCTGTGTCCAGGTGAGAAGAAAATGGTAGGCAGGTAATTTATATCTTCTCCAGAAGGTGGGGTAGGGCTGAGTCATTATCTTGTAGGAGTTCCCTGGGCTATGAACATGCTAATGGAGGAGCTTTCCTGAGGAGGCTGTTTTGTATATGGATTGTTTCCTGAGGAGGTTCCTGTTTCCTGAGGAGGTTCTTTTGTATGTGGATTGGCTGTTGAAATTCTAATCTTATCTGTAGTGCTATTGTCAGATGTAGAACCTTTTGTGTTTTTCAGGACAGGAAACCGTGCCCTATTTATTTTTAAACTCTATTCTTTCCTTTTGAAATTGTGTTTAGGTTTATGAATTTCAATGGCTTCCCTGTGTAATCTGACATGGTAATCTATTAATCTAACTGTTCTACTGAAGCCCAACACGGCTACCCTCTGAAACAATAAATCACAATGCCAGCAGCAATCCTGATGCTTTGCCTTCAAAGCCAGTATTGGAGGTTAAAAAAGAAGAGATTGGCTCATAGATTAGATTAGAGGTGCTGAATCTGTAAAGAGGGACTCTTGGAGGTCAAGTGGTGATAACCATCATGCATTCTGGTTTGCAATAAAGAATTGTGTGTCAAATTAGAAAACAGAGCGGAGAACTCTTTATGAATAACCTCTTTTCACAATTTACATCCTTGGGTAAATGGACAAAGTAGGGTTATGCTGCAGCAAAGGTGTGAAAAATATCAAAGTGATTGATCCAATTTTTATTCTCCTTCTTAGGTCATTCAACCCTTTTTTCCCCTTGCTTGGCTGTTTCATGACTCCTGGGGTACAGCTATGGGCAGTATGGGCCATGCAGCACGTCTGCAGCAAAAACCGTACGTACTGAGACAGAAATCTGTGTCTATAGCAACACTTTTTAGATGTAGTTGAGTGAGTAAATACTCCAGTGAAGTTTAACTCTCTTCCTAATTAAAAGTGCCTTCTCTAGAGAAAATAGGGAGTTAAAAGTTGTGGTTGGGATGCCTTCAAATTGGATAGCCTCTGAAAGATGTTTTAGAGGGGAAATGCAAAATAAACAACATTACAGAGAAACACAACTACTTAAACAGTCTGTCCTGGAAGTAATTTACTGTTTTGTAAGTTTTAATTGCATCCCAGCACAATCCTTCACCGTGCACATACACTGTGTGTATAAGAGCATTACTATACTGTCAGTTTTAGTATCCTTTCCTTTCCTGAAGATCCCTAGCATGAAACATGTGGTCACTCAACCACTTCTTCCATAGGTGCTGAGACTTGCTCTGCCCTGCCTGAATGTGGGGTGTGTGTGGAAGGAACAGTTTCTACTCCTAAAGCATGTATTTAGTGTCTTCAGATGCCAAGTGAGAGCAGGAAGATGGTATGGAGGAGAACTGGGGTCTGCTTGCTGCAGCTTTGCAAAATATGAAAAAAGACAGACTCAACTGATCTTAAGACATGCAGTCTAACGGAATTTGTCTCCCCACTCCCTCTTCTCATTTTAGCTGCCAGGTACTGCAGCATGTTAATTGAAGAAGGTGGACTGCAACATCTATACAACATCAAGGAAAACAGCCAGACAGATCCAGATGTTCAACGAATTGCTATCTCTATTTTAGATAGTTTAGAAAAACATATTTTGCGGCATGGGCGGCCACCTCCTTGTAGAAAACAGTCAGACAAATAGCAGAGAATAGGCATGTAATTTATCCTCTAATCCTTGCAAAGTGTTTCTAGTTGGAATGACTTCTGTTCCAGTGATCACCATTAAAACTTTTGCCAGCATGACAGCAGACACAATGCACAGCTGGCAAATGTTGTCTTTAATGGTCTTTAAGGGTTTTCATGAGGATCTAGGATGCATTCCTAAACTGGTCATGTCCTGAGAATCACTGCTGGCTGAGAAAGTTGGGAGATTGTACAGTTCAAATGCCCATCTGAAATGAAATCTCTAAGAATTTGTGAATTGAGGTACAGAAAATTATTTCTGCTTGCTTCATCCATAACTGTGTTTAAATCACTTCACCAACTCAGTATTTGAATAGAACAGTTTGTGCTTGTAAAGTCAGCACTATTCAGCTTACAGCCATGTCATGTGTTCATGCATTAAAACACAACAGTTTATGAGTAAGGTGACCAGGGTTTTTTTTTTCTTCCAGAGATCTTTTAAAACCCATATAGTAGAGCCTTCAGAGTCATCTCATGTTTCCCATCCACTATCTAAGCAGGAGCATCTGAATTTTGAATCAACACCTTATTTTCCCTGGTATGCTAAGGAAACAACCTGCTTGTAGGAAGAAACATAGGTTGTTTTCTAGGAGCCCCAAGCATGGGAGGGAAAGGAATTAATTACAAGTTTAAAAAAACCATAAATGCTATTACCCTTGTTAATGTTAAATGTATGTTGAACAGAAGACCGAGACAAATAATGGAGCTGTCCACCAAAAACAGTGGCTAAAGTGGGTAGAACTTCCTCACCCACTGGGATTGTATGAGACCAAGGATATCTGATCACCTTAGTTATGAAAGACTACCGATAGCTTTGCTGTGTCATGTACATACTTTGTCAGTATTTGTGCAGTAAACTTCATGTGTAAGGCACCATGATACAAAATCTCACCCAACATCTTATGTAAAGTCTGGTGTAAATTACATTGTTGTGTGGAGTATTAAAGTTTTGCATAAAACTTCCCATAGTTTAAAAACATTCTCTGAAGTTTCTCTGTGAATTGTTATCTATGAATGTTTTGTGGAACAAAATGGAGATAGCACCAGGACCCAGAAGCTTAGCACAAAGGAGAGGTAATGAAACAAATGACAATTTGAATTGAGTGTTTTATTTCTAAAGTACTGCTCTTTAATTTGCTTCATAAATTTAAAAAAACCCACTAAAATCTTTTTCAATACAAGGAATGTAGCCTAATCACAGAGAAGGAAAAAACTAATTCCTGTGCATAACATCGTTTACAGGCATACACAGAGCTGCTTGAGATTTTCTTTCTCCAAAAAGTAGCAAAGTATGAATTCAGCAAGAAAAATTAAATGTTCTAGAAACTGAGACCTTCGCCTGTAGGTGTGGGCAGCCTTGCTACTTTTTTTAAACCTCTTGGATGAACACTTGTATTGTGTTAGTTGACAGGGGAAGAGCACAGGCAGTGAACAAAAAATTATTTCAGTTGCTGGCCACACTAACAACAAATGAATAAATACAAAAAAAATTTGCTACCAATACCAAACTAGGAGAAACCAGTTTTTATACAAATTTTCTTGACAGCAAATCACATTTGTATTGATACTGGACCTGATTTTTATCAAACTGAAGAGAAGTAGACATGTTAGTCTTCAGTCACAAGACTAACACATTTGTGGTACAAGTCTCTAGAAGCCACCATTATTTTTTTTAGTCTGCAATGTGTATTTTGGTTGCAACAGACATGCAAAACAATCTATTGTTTTGATGTAACTTTAATAGATGCTCATCTGTTGAATCCTTAACAGGTGGTCTATTTCTTGAAAATGGGCCAGGAAGAGTTTCTGTGTAAGATAAGAGTAGGCAACTCTGGTGTGACTTTGAGACTTAAGGGAGAGATCAAAAGCATATTAAAGTAGCTTGGAAGCAGAGTAGATCTAAAAGGTAAAGGTTCCCTTGCTTGAAAGCCAGTCGAATCCGACTCTAGGGTTGCGGTGCTCATCTCCGTTTCAAAGCCGAAGAGCCAGCGCTGTCCAAATACATTTCCGTGGTCATGTGGCCTGCATGACTAAACACCAAGGCACACGGAACGCTGCTACCTTCCCACTGAAGTGGTACCTATTTATCTACTTGCAATTTCTTTTCGAACTGCTAGGTTGGCAGGAAGAGTAGATCTAGTACAAAATAAATCTGTGAATATCATCGTTAAAATTGATTTATTTGGACAGCCGAAATTATGGAAGTATTTTTAGAATCTTGAACTTCCACTGTCAAGTTGGATAGCCCTATCTTGTGTTTGTTTTTATTCTGAAGTTTGGCAAATCATAAACCCACCTATACCAGATATCTAAAAACTCATACTGTTAAATTAACTTGCTAATGTAATAAATCCAGGAATGTTTACACTGTTTTTGACTGATTGCTGTAACAGGCATAATTTGGGTAAACTCTTCATCCAGCCCTTGTAGTATGTCAGAATCATTATGAAACCTGGAGAGGACTGAACATTGTCTCTGGTCTAGGACACGGAAGCCAGGTACATTGTGTGAGTTGACTAAGGCAACAAAAAGTAAATCAGCATAAACCAAAAATGACAGAGACCTGGGAAAATAAAAAGGCCTTTATTTACTGCATAAAGGTGAATGGCAGTATAGAAAAAATTTGATGGATATGGATGAGACACTCAAGTGGTAGCATATCACCTCAGAAGATAGGGGCACACAGAGCAGAGCCTCTGAAGAAAATATCTTCATTGGGCAGGGTCTTATGTGAGCATGTGATCCTTAAAATACCCTGGTTCCAGGCCATATATTCATTCAAAAGTAAGAAGGAACACCTTAAATGAATTGGCTATCTGTGAAGTGCTTTTAATCTGTTGAGCCACATTCATAAGATTCTATACTGGTCAGCAATCTTGCTGCTCCATTCAGAGGTAATTTGAGTTCCTGAACAGTTTTCAGAGGCATGGCTGCATAAACTGCATTCCAATAATCTGATCTGGTGTTGATCATAGCATGTACAGGTGGGCAGATCTTGCTTTTCCAGGAATGGCTGCAAATGCTGAACCACCCAAAGCTGATTAAAGGCGCTGTGTCACAGATTAAACTTGATTCCAGAGGAGTAGCTGTATTAGTCCGCCCCATCTAAAATAACAGAGGCTTGTGGCACCTTAAAAACTAACATTTATTGTGACATAAGCTTTTGTCAACCGCTTTGTCAGATACATGAGTGAATACTGTGTCACAAAAGCTTATACTGGAAGAAATGTTGTCAGCTTTTAAGGTGCTACTGAACTCTTATTTTGCTGCTACAGACTAAAATGGCTACCTATCTGGAGATTTTTCAGTTGTCAGGATTTATACCCCAAACTATAAACAGCTTAATGGGATGGGGGGTGGGGGAGAGAGATCAGAAGGCCAGGATCTTCAAGTTAATGTAGTTAGTCTTAACATCACTTAATGGAATGTATATTTGGTGTATAATATAGTAACATGGATGGCTCCATTGTATGTAATCACATTTATGGCAGGTTTGAAGCATTGCCTTCTCAGAATCTGTCCCCAAGTGATGACAATTTACATTTTTATTGAGAACATAAGAGAAGCTATGTTGGATCAGGCCAGTGGCCCATCCAATCCAACACTCTGTGTCACACAGTGTTCAAAACCCAGGTGCTATCAGGAGGTCCACCAGCAGGGCCAGAACTCCAGAAGCCCTCCCACTGTTGCCCCCTCAAGCACCAAGAATATGGAGTGTCACTGCCCCAGACATAGTGTTCCATCTGCACCTTGTGGCTAATAGCCACTGATAGACCTCTGCTCCATATGTTTATCTAATCCCCTCTTGAAGCTGTCTATACGTAGCCACCACCACTTCCTTTGGTAGTGAATTCCACAACTTAATTACTCTTTGAGTGAAGAAATACTTCCTTTTATCTGTTTTAAACTTACTGCTCATTAATTTCATTGAGTGCCCATCAGGTCTTTTATTGTGAGAAAGGGAGAAAAGTACTCCTTTCTCTACCTTCTCTATCCCATGCATAATATTGTAAACCTCTTTCAGATCACCGTTCAGTCATCATTTCTCCAAGCTAAAGAGCCCTAACCTCTTTAACCTTTATTCATAGGGAAAGTGTTCCATCCCGTTAATCATTATAGTTGCCCTTTTCTGCACTTTTTCCAAAGCTATATCTTTTTTGAGGTACGGTGACCAGAACTGTACACAGTATTCCAAATGAAGCCACACCATCAATTTATACAGGGGCATTATGATATTGGCTGATTTGTTTTCAATTCCCTTCCTAATAATCCGCAGCACAGCATTTATTGCCATCGCACACTGAGTTGACATTTTCAGTGAGTTATCTATTGCTACTCCAAGATCTCTCTCCTAGTTGGTCTCCACCAATTTGGACCCCATCAACGTGTATTATACTTAGGATTTTTGGCTCCAATGTACATTACATTGCACTTGCCCACATTGATGCCCATTCTTCCAGCATTGACAGATCCCTCTGGAGCACCTCACAACCCTCCCTGGTTCTCACCACCCAAAACAACTTAGTGTCATTCACAAACTTAGCCACTTCATTGCTTACTCCCTCCCAACTCCAAATCATTAATGAACAAGTTAAAAAGCACCAGACCTAGTACCGAGCCCTATGGTACTCCACTCCTTACCACCCTCCTCTGTGAAAACTGCCCTTCCCAAAATCGGTGGTTCTGGGGTGGGCAAGTCCCTCCCATCTTCAACAGTGAAGACAGAGGCAAACCGCCCCGCCCCCCCCCATTCAGCTTTCCTGCTATTTCCCTATCATCCTTCAGGAGCCCCTTTACTCCTTGGTCATCCAAGGCCCCCACTGCCACCCTGGCTGGTTTTCTGCTTCTAATGTATTTGAATAATTTTTTATCGTTGGTCTTTATGTTTTTTGCAATATGCTCCTCATATGCTCCAACGTTCAAGTAATAGAAAAGCATTATCTTATAAGGAAATGGAATGAGACTCTCAGTAGTTGTTCTTTGTTCCTGAGGAAGGACAAGAAGGCTGAAACACTGGAAAATTACCTAGGAAAAATGTTGGACTTTTTTGGATATCTGTCTTGTATATTTATTCTTTGGCTTTCCTATGATGGACATTTTTGGCTTTTGGTAGGTTAGGCTGCGAGTGTGTGACTGGCCCATTGTCACCCAGTAAGCTTCCACATCAGAGTGAGTATTTGAACCTGGGTCTCATACTCTGGTACAACACATGGCCCTTTACTATTAAAACTATTTAAAATATCAAGGAAAAAAGGGGAGCAGGTCCCTGATACATCAATACAAAGCCAAAAAGAGAAGGCCCAAAGAAAGAACAGAAATACACAGAACACACACCATAGTATTAACAAAATTTGTAAGCTGCCTTTCTCCCCAGTGAGGGCCACCAAAACAGCTAATACTCAAAACATTATAATATATCATAAAAACTATTAGAACCAAACTAGAATTCATATTAAGAGCACATTGAGTGCATCATATTAAGAGCACAGCTTTCAAGAAGAGGCTGGACGAATATTTGCCAGAGATGCTTTAGGCTGGTCCTGCATTGGGCAGGGGGGGTGGACTAGATGGTCTGTATGGCCCCTTCCAACTAAAAATAGGGCAGGATGAACAGAGGTGAATAGAAAGCACATGTTCTCATTGGCTATCAGATTTTTTTGATTTTTTTTTTATAACACTACAAACTACAACAGAAAATGGGAGGGGGAATTACATTTATAGGATAAAGAAAGATACCCACTACTGACTAAAAACCCAAGAAAGGAGATCATCCCACCACCTTAACCATACATTTAGTCTTAATCTTACTATCAACTGAGTCAAGTTTAACATTTTCTTTTTCAAATCTTAAGTTTAACTGTCATACAGAAACACCCCAAAGCATCTCACTTCAACATTTCTTAAAGGCACAATTCAGAGTCCTTCAGCCTTTACTTTTCCTTGCCTAGTCTCTTCCGAAGCTTATAAGGACTTTTAGGGGCTACCACCCCTTTCTCTGATAGAGAGTCCTCCCCGGAAGATTCAGAGTCCAGCTCGCCATTGGACTTACTGTCCTCCCCTTTTTCTCCTTCCTTCCCTGGCCCTCCCATCTGGACTCTTAAAAATTCCTGTGCTTTCTGGACAGAGTCAATCTTTTCTTTTTTATCCTTAATTTTGAAGGTTACGCCTTCTGGAGTTAACCATCTATATCCAATTGCATTTGTCTGTAGAAAAATAATTAATTCTTTATATTTCTTTCTCCTTTGTCTTATTTCAAATGGAATGTCTTTTAATGTCCTGATGGTATTCTCCCTCACTTTCAGGGGTGCTCCAGATACTGCCTTAAGATTCTCTCCCTTTGTCTCTGGCAAGCAAGCCCTGGAAGCAAAGGATCATAATAGCCTTTTCCATTTGTAATTGTAGCAGTTGATCTTCCGTAGAAACTTGCTTCTTTTCCAGCTTTTGAACTTTCTTTTTAATCTTTTGTGCAGTGGTGTCCACTTCTTTCACCTTTTAAGCTGTTTCATTCATCATTGTAAGTGTCTCGGTTATCTGTGTCTGCTGTGTGGTGATGCATTGAGTCATTTTCGACATCTGATCCTTGAGGTTACTCATTTGGTCCAGTAGAGGGCGCATGGATTCTGCCAAAGTCTTTACCAGCTCGTTAGCTCCTTCCGGTTTAGGGCTCTCCATTAGTTTCAATTTTGAAAGTTTCTCTTTCTCCGTCCTCTTCCCTGCCATCTTTCTCAGTTGTTTACTTTGAAAAATATTTTGAAAGTCTCTGAATATGCGCTCAAACGCCTGAACTCGCCTTGGTAAGTATTTAACAGTTATGCATGCCTTCTCTTCTGCTCCCCCCCCTCGATTCGCTCAAAAGTTCATGCGGTTAGGAGGCGTCCCTCCCCCGCCCGCTTCACTTTCCGTTTTTCAACATGGGGTAGGGAGCTTTCTTTTTCTCTTTAAC